TCTCATAGTCTAGCACACGGTTTATATTATTATTGGTCTAATCTACACAATTCTTTCTCAAGTTCATGCATAAATCACTAAATCAATTGAAAGATGATCAGACTTCCAATGCATTAAGTTCAATAATATAAACTCCTCATACAAATAACTTTAATTGAAAGTATAAAATCATTAAATCCATATTGAATTGATTAGGCTACATCGTAGCCTTAGTAGAATAAATCAATTCATAATAAAAAAATAAAATATACAATCATAGTTATGAACAAGGAATAATAAAACCTAATTTGAGAAAATTGCAATCCTTGATCTTCTATTGATGGATTTTCTATCTTGACCTCCAAGAGTGCCCAAAAGAGGGCTGCCACCAGCCTCCCAAAACTCTCTTAATTCTAAATTTGGATGGGTATTTATAAGATTTTAGAAACCCTAATTGAAATAGAAGTAGGACTTGAAACAAAAATAGGAAACTGAATTTTGGATGCTGATCGCGTGGTGCTGATACTTCGGATTACGTGTTGACACAAACTAGGAAACAGAATCTGATTCTTAATGCATGGTGTCGACACCCCGATCATGTGTCGACACTACACTCGTGTCGGGTTTCTGGTCTCCTTCTGCAATTTCTTCAATGGTAAAATAGCAGATTTGGTTCCTGACTTCTGGATTCTGCACAAGTTGATCCTCAAGTCTCTGATCTCTTCAATTTACTTCTAAAAAGTAAGATTTCTTCCAATTAAATCCTTTCCTATACAAAGGATGAAAATCATATAAAATCAAATAAAATCCCATAAAACTCATTCAAATATCAATAATATCAAAGTAAAAATTCCCTATTAATATGTATATAAATTTAGCTTATCAAATTCCCCCAAACTTAAGTTTTACTCGTCCTCGAGTAAAATAAAAAGACAAAAGAAACAAAAATAAAATCTAACTCACTTTCGTAGGAATCACGATTGCACTTAGCATGTGCAACAAGCCTTTAAACCCCTAGGTCACCCCAGTGGATGAGTTGTGTCTCGTGAGGGTTTGCAGTGGATCTACCCACAAAATCCCAATGCAAGAATGTAACTACATGATATGCATGTAAAGAAAATTTAGGAATTAAAGTTCAATTAGATACAAAGTCTCAAATATTCAAGAGTTTTCATATACTCACTTAAAGTTAGACACTCATCTTATTCTTCACACCACTTGTTAAAAGATTTAGCCCATGAGCATTTAGTGTGTGTGTGGAAATTCATAGTAAGAAGTCTCAAGTTTAGACCTTCACACCTTA